CCCCAAAACCCCAAAACCCCAAAACCCCAAAACCCCTATGATAGCATATCTGCTGAAAATGGTAGTATTTACAAATGGTAGGCTAGCAGCTAAAGTAAATTACAAGCATACTTGGGACTCTAAAAGATTAGGTAGATACCTATCCATACCTGATTGAGTATCTCCAGACAACTCTGGTCTCAAAGTCCCTTGCTTGGCAGCGGACATGTAGATTGTTTGGACGAGGGAGTTGCTTCCTTCCCAAAATATTATTATATTATCGAATAATTCAGCTGCAGACTTTTACCCTAAATTAAAGTCCATAATCATGCTATGCACGCTAGTTCTCTATTCTGCTAGCTTTGAAGCCGTGTTCTAAAGATTCACAGAAATTTGTTCTAGAGGTTTTTACCTATTATTTATGTTGGTCTTAATCCATGCTAAACACTTGTAAGGACTTATCTCCTTGCTTCAGCTTAATAAAGAGGTTTTATGAGGCTATATGTGAGGACTTGCTTGTCAGATCCCAAGTCTATTTTATCGCTAGTCCCTAACTCACCTAAAATCTTGAAAGTGCTTACCTTTGGGACTTCAATCTTTAGAAATGAGTGTCTAATAGGGATAAAAAGTAAATAATTAAGTAGCGATCCAGAATTCCGAATTATAGCTAGTATTGGCGAGTTGGATGGGGCTCATTCTCGGGAGAATTTTGCAGGTTGAGATACATAACTGTTATGAGCATGGAATCGTTAAGAATATTAGAGGTTATACGGTTGATATGTTAGCCATTTTAATTCTAAACTCTTCCTACAGCTGAGCTGAAAGAAAGAGAGGGTCCACTATGTCTCTGAATCTTTTCAATACATAGGCTGGTTGATGCAGCCTGTTAAATATGCTCAAAATATTCAGAAGCAGGAGTTCTTTATACCATCAGCCATTTTTAATTAAGGCAATCCATCTCACCCGAATAATCTCAATTTTATATCAGGCTACAAAGATCTGAGCATCACTAAAAGGCTGGCAGACTTTAAAGCTCTTCTTTACCAGGTTGATAAAAGTCCTGACCTAGGCATAATCCCGAGGTATGATTTTTTAATAAAATTAATGTATTTCCTTCAAGTCCGATACCTCTTCTCATGAGTGTTTAAAGTACCCTATGGGGACACTAAGAAGAGTTTTAACTTAGCTCTATCTTCTTTGACAGTCCTAAACTTTGAAATCTTTGAGATTAAATGAATTATGATAAATTCTTACCTCTTGTTGATTCTTCATACTTCAGTCAAAGCTAAGAGGCTGATGTTTTAATGTCTCCAGCAACTCAGGTCCTTGATAATTCAGTCATGATAGTTACAAAAAGCTTTGAGCAGTTAAATATCTGAAGTAAGAGATAGAGCAGACTTACTACCTCCCAAGTCCATTCTCACATTTTATTATTTTTGGAAATGAGGATTATTCATGGGCCAATTGGCTCGAAGATGCTCAATATTCATGACTTTCAAAGTAGAGGAAACTTATAAAGAATAGATGCTAGAGAATCTTACTGCTATTCTCGATAAAGAACATGAAAAGAAATGGTTAAAGACTCTCTTTAGGTAAGTTTAATGAAATATCTATCTCATACCATCTTTAATCCTGACAGTTTAAAATTAATAAACTGGTGATTCATAAACAATTGGAAGTTTGGTTTGCAGAGTCAGAGATGAAAGTTAAGAGCTAGTGGGAGACCACATCGCAAAGGTAAAATCACGCTAATAAATTTGGACGCCTTCTATTAATAAAGTCATCCTTTTGGATAATATCGGTGACCGAACCTCTTGCTGAATGCAAGAACTTGCCCATAACCTAATAAATGTTAGATCCAAATTAGTTTTACAAATTAAGATTATTCTGAGGCAGACGGAAGCATCCTGAGAGTCCTCTCTTTGAGTTTGTGCAAGTGGGTCTTCACTTTCCTCTGGAAGGACACTCTGTTGTCCGAGTAGATCAGGTTGCTTACTCCCTCAATGTTAAGGAAGTGCAGCAGCATTTCCAAGAACTCTGGATGGTCCCTCATCCTTTTGAACATTTTCTCAGAGTAAAAGTACATCAGCTTCTCAGTCAGATTCTTGAGGTCTCTGTCTTCGCTGGGTATGGCTCCGAGTTTGCCTTTGGAGTTGACGATACAATCAAACACCACAAGGACTCTGTCAGTGTTGCTTTCTGGGAACTTTACAGCACAGTACTCTCTAAGTCTCGATGGGTAGTCAGTCTCTGGAAGAGAATGCTTGGTGGTCTCTTTGAAATCTTGGATGAAATACTTCCTCATCCTTCTGAATGCAGCCTTATAGACAAGATCTCTCCTGGTTTTGTAGTTCTGAGTGGGCCTTGCAAGCGTAAACTCTTCAATTGACTCAGTTTCTTCATTCTTTGAACGATGTCTTCTTGAAGTTTTGACTTGGGATTGGCTCTCACATTCAGAATCTAAGTCCACTTTTGATTCGTCATGTTGTTTTGATTCAGAGATAACTAGTTGTTGATGACCTTGATGTAGAGATTTTGCATCGTCATTAGATTGCTTACACGCATATGAGTTGTTATAACTCATAACTCCAGCACAGTAAGTTCTCTCAAAGTTCTTGACAGGTGAATTTGACTCCAGTCAGCCTGAAACTTTTGGGAGCCATTGTTGGCCGTTGTTAGAGTTTTCACCTAAATAAATTATTAAGTAATGCATGGTTGAAGTACAATTAAATGGAAAGAATACAGAGCTGTGAGTTTATAAAAATGACGCTTGAAGACGACCAATTCTAATAAAGAAGGGTTGTTTAGGCTCTGATTATAACGTTGGTTTAAATCAGGGATGGAAGATTTATGATCAAAACTCCATCTTCATTAGTATATTATAACTCTGTTTTAGCATATCAGAGATCCAAATATGATTTCTTCTAAAGTCAGCCAGAGGTTTTTAGATGAGTAAGGAGAGCTATTGATAATCATTCGATTCAATCTTTAGGCTCCAGAAAGTCTCTAACTCAAATAATAATAAAAGAAAACTTCAGGATTTACACTTCTGAGACCAACTTTCTGGATCAAAGATTTATTCACACAAAGTAATACAGGACTGGTGAAGGCCACTAGAACTTACCTTGACTAGTCTTGAGGTATGACTTCTCAGTTGGACAACAGCAGAAGTTGGTGAGAGAAATCTTGGTCCACTCGGCTAGTCTAGGATCTACTTGCATAGGTTGGAATATATTGTTCATGATAATTTAATTATTTATGTTAAGCTTTCATCGATTATATAATCCACAGGGGTTTTGGGGTTTTGGGGTTTTGGGG